AGAGTGTAAAAAGTTTTTAGTTGTATGATTTACTCTGGGTTTTTGTGGCAGTCAAAAAAGCAGTATTAGTAGATTTTTCTAATTCATAAAGTTTAAGTGATAATCTACTGAAACTAATGATGGTCTGAGGCATATATTGCATGTATGCTATTATGTATTGACAAGTATTTTAAGCAAAGTTGTTGTTTGGTGTGACTGACACACATGTTTAGATGCCCTGCCTTCAGTTGGTTGGCCTGTGAAGCAGTTACACTTTCTAATTTGTTCTGCTTTGTGTCTTCTGGGCAGTAACAAAGCGTTTTCTCACCAAACCTCCTTTCTGCAGTATTGAAAGACTAGAATGCTTTCTCTCCCTGTCCAGTAGAGAACCGTTCCTCTGTGGATGCACCAGGGGGATTACTTTTTTCTCAAAGAGTTAGCATAATCTCATACAACATCTGAAGGTTTTATAGATACTTTACCAGTTTCTGAAAATGCCACCTTTTGTGTCTTCTCCTTCCTCTTTTTGCTTCTTTTCCACAAATCTGTCAAAGTTGGTTGGGAAACCACACAATAGAACTGTTTTCACTTAGGGATAGTGAAGTAGTTTAATTGCAGATAGCTTGCTTGTGCCTTTGGTTCCTGGTTGCAAGTTTGATTTACTTCTCCTGTCCCAGTCTTCTCAGTGTTTTGGTACCATCAAAGAGAGTCAGTATTTTCAGAAACTTGAGACTTCTCAGTGTTTTGGTACCATCAAAGAGAGTATTTTCAGAAACTTGAGACTTGCTTTTGTTAAAGTACCCTTTCTTGGGAAAGATACAAGGTGCTTTCTCAGGTTCTTAGAAGTAGATGGCAGTCACTAAGCAAAGAGCTGGATGTCCTTGGTTAGTTATAAAAGAGGATTTGGGCATCCTATGGAGCATTGCATTACTTCTGCAGTTATGTATCAGCCTGAAGTCTTTTCTGGAGACTAAGTTTGAAAGAGACAATAGGAACAAAAGTCCCACGCATCAAAAATCTGTGTGTGAAGAGCGATGAGACCTTCAAGACCCACCTCATTTTGTAGACTCTTAAGCAAAGGGAGTTCTGGACTGCCACTTACAACTCTGACATCAAGAAGGAGATGGGAGGCTTTTTCTCATAAGCATGTTCATGATTGTGGAGAGAAAATTTCTAGTGAACTGGGTTCTATCAGATACACCTGGAGTGTGATCAGGAATAGTCAGCAAGGATTTATGAAGGGCAAATTGTGTTCAACCAACCTGTTAGGCCTCAGCAACAAGGTAACTAGCTTGATGGGTGAGGGGAGAGGTGGATTGAAAACTGCCTGAGTGGCCAGGCCAGAGGGTTGTGATCAGTGGTGCACAGTCCAGCTGGAGGCAAGTCACTGGTGGTGTATTCCAGAAATTGGTACTAGGGCCAGTACTTTCTAACCTTCATTAATGGCCTGGACTATAAGACCGAGCACACCCTCAGCAAGTTTGCAGATGTTACAAAACTGGGAAGATTGGGTGATAGATCAGATGGTTGTGCTGCCATTCAGAGGGATTTAGACAGGCTGGAGAACTGGGTGGAGAAGGAACCTCGTGAAGCTCAGTAAAGGAAAACACAGATTCCTGCACTTACGGAGGAATAACCCCAGGCACCAGTAAATGCTGGAGGCTGACCAGCAGGAAAGCAGCTCTGCAGAGAACAACCTTGACGTTCTGGTGGACACCAAGCTGACCACGAGCGAGCAATGCACCCTCAGGCAGAAAAAGCCCAACAGCGTTCTGGGCTGCATGAGGAGAAGTGTTACCAGCAGGTTGAGAGAGGTAATCCTCTACTTGGCACCAGTGAGATCGCATCTAAAGTACTTTGTCCAGTTTTGAGCTCCCCAGGACAAGAAACACATCCATGGAGCATCTTTCATATGAGGTGCTGCTGAGAGAGCTGGGAATGTTCAGCCCAGACAAGAGAAGGTTCAGGGGGGATCTTATCGATATGTATATATATCTGATGGGAGGGAACAAAGAGGATGGAGCCAGGCTCTTCTCAGTCGTGCTCAGTGACAGGACAAGAGGGCGCAAATTAAAGCGCATGAAGTTCCATCTAAACACAGGAGAACTTTCTTTACAGTGAGAGTGGTCAAACACTGCAATAAGTAGCCCAGAGAAGTTAGGGAGTTCCCATCTGTGGACATACTCAAAACCTGGCTGGACATAGTGCTGGGTGACCTGCTCTAGCTGACCCCAGTTGAGCAGGCATGTTGGACTAGATAGAGGAACTTGAGGTGTCCCTTCCAACTTCAATAATTCTGTGATTTTTTGAAAACCTCTCCTCTTGAAAAAACAGAACTTTTGTTTTGCCATTGACAAATCTCTTTATTGGTTTTGGGTTTAGAGCATAATGAGATTGCCAGTAGGGGGAGATTTTATTTTTTGTTTGGTAGGTTGTTACGCTTATGTATGATCTGGAAGTCAAACCGCTCACATTAAATGCTTGCCGAAAGGACTGGTAGTATTCCAATGCTGTTTGGGGTATTCCCCACAGAATTGCTTTTTTTTTTCCCCCATGGAATCAGCAGACAAAAAAGTAGGGGCACCTCTTCAGTAGCCTTCTTTTCTGCTACAGAAAAATTAAGATATTCTTTCTCTTGCCTCTGATCTAGTAATAATGGTATCTGGGATACACGGTTTCTGTTGCAAATCCCTTTGTTTTTACAAAGGAAAGAGATCAATATTAAGGCAACCACTTCCTTTTATGAACCACAGCATTCCATTAATTTTTCACTTGGCTGATTTTGATTTTAGATGCGATCATAGATATTGTAAGTGATATATAAACAAAGCTATGCTGAACTTACAACTTTAAAAAATGGGATGTTAGGCTTTTAGATGACTGTTTTCTCTGTGTTTAAATATCTATATACAGTGCTATGTTCATTAATTTTTAGGGGTTTTCTCTTTTCCTTGTTGAGTACCATCCTCTAACCTCAAACATGTTGACCCATATTCTACTTCATGTTCAATTTGTAAAGAAAACGTTCTGGGGACTGTGGCCCATAAAAACTTTGGGGTTTGGAGGCTGGACCATTTAAAAAAAAAATAAAAATAATCCTGTTTTGGGAAAAACCTTTTAGTTCAAGATTTGCCAAAAGTTGTACAGGAATACTTTTTGTAGAGCAAGTAGTTTGCCCCAGGTCTTGAACAAGCTACTCTCCTAAAAAGAAAATAAACCAAAGAGCAACAAAACCACTCAAACCCAGAGCTGCAGCCTCTGGGGAGAAGAAAACTGCCAGCAAATCATGAGACTCTTCTAGGATGTCTTGAAAGACAATGTGTACAATGGCTCTATGTCCATTGAGTTTGATGGAGGTAGGTTTGGAGATCGCTTTCTTCCAAGTGGCCATAGTTCAAGGTGTGACGCAATTTCCAAATCAAAATATTTTTAGCTGTGACAGAATATGATATTTAAGTGAAGCGCTGCAGGAATTAATAAAACCCAGCTTGAATTAGTCACCCTTTTGGTGGAACCGAATAGAGCAGCCCAGCTTCTGAATGCTGAATCTTTCATGCTTTCCTTTACTGAATAAACAAGTTTATGGTGATGCAGTAATGTTAAGCAAAATATTCATAGTAATTTAAAATACCTAGTAAGTGAGAACAGCCCTTCATTGGCTGCAGAGCAGACAGCGTTCAGGCCTCTACTGTATGTTGAGAATTGTTCGTTTAGAAGAGTTCTGATTGTGTAGTTGTAACTCAGAGTTTCCTCATAATGGAAAAATATTTTCTTGTAGATGAAAATAAATAAGGAAGTGATGGAATTAGGATATGACAGCTTGGTTTCCTATGAATAAGTAAGACTAGTGATCAGCTTGTTATTAGTCCATCCATCTCTTTCTTTTTTTCCACCACTAGTTTTGTCTAAACCATTAGCTAGCTTCTGGCTCTCTGCTAAAAGAATAAAATTGCAAATACCGATTGCCCCAAGTTTTATGAAAAGAGGTGGAAGAGAGAAAAAGACTCTAGACTAGCACAAGGCAGTTCGTAACTTGGATTCCTGCATCCCGCTTGGCAGCGGCCAACTGGCCAGCCTGCGTGTGCATCACTGGACCAGGCGGAGCAGGTGCTGTCGGGGGGGTGTCGGGGTGTTGTGAGGCAGGAGCAGTGGGGGTTACAGTGCTGAAGGAATGGAAGGGGAGGGGATGAAGGGTCGCAGGCGTGAATCTGTACGAGGCCACGGCTTGTTGGCTTTATTGCTTGCTGCTCGACTTCATTTTCAAAGCCAGAGGAAGGCAGTCCCAGGTTTCTGTCACTAGCTAGCTGTACTGTGCACTGAGCGGTATGTATTTCTAATGGTAATGAACTGGTAATACACTGTGTAATGTATACATACCAGAGATGCAGAAGGAGGAAAGATGTGCCTCTGGAGAAAGAGCAAGGAAAGGAAAAGAATAACTTGAGGCATTTTCATGTGGCAGTTTGGTCTTGGATTGTGTTATATTATAAACCAGTGCACTTGGTAGCATGTGGCTAAGTGTAATTGGTGGAAAGACCTAACAAATGCACTTCTGATAGGAGTTAATGCTTTGAAGTGGTTTATAACAATAACTGTTTTTGAGATGGATACTGTTTGTAGCATTTTTTTGTCTAGACAGCGATAATTGGTATAGTGGAAATCTGAAGCCATGTTATTTTTTTGTGGAAGCTTTTAGGTAATGGTGATTTTCACTTAAGGAGCAATGCTTAACAAAAGCATCCCTTTAAATGCCATTTTACATAGCTGTAAAGGTTAATCTTCATATTTTGCTGAAAGAGATGTTACATGTGAAAACCTTGGTTCCTTTTCCGGAGCAACTTCTACTTCAAATGACTTCTGCCTTATTAAAGCCAATTATTTAAAATCATACCCCTGCAGCTGAAATAGACAGGGCTCCAGAATAAATGGTTGCAGCCTAAGGGAAGAGGCTTCAGTCTTCGTTCATTTTAACTGTGCCTATAGTGTTTGTCGGTAACATTGTTCACTCCCCTGTAATTGAATTGCTCTGCTAGTATCAAATGAAATAGTGCCAACAGGAATGAACAGTGTAACAAGGTAACCATGTATACATGATAATTTCTGTTGGTGTAATATTTGATGTTTCTGACACTTGAACGTTTTAGAGGGGGAAAAGCAAAAGATAATTCTGCTTGAAGTTGCGATTCTAGAGTTATATTGAGTACATAACTGACTCGAAGATTTAAAACACTAAACAAGATGCTTAAAACATTTAAGAGCAAACACTAGAGAAGATCAGCTGCTTTTAAAAGCAGTCTTGAATTTGAAAACCTTGGGATGCATATAATGTGGTATGCTAATGTGTGTCAAAAACAGAGAAGTCTTATAAGTCAAATAGTTGGGAGGGCTGTATCTGCACTGATATGCTATGGAAAATTATGACAAATCGTTAAAGATAGCAAGGCAATGCATGTAAATTTAAAGTCCTCTAAGGGTGTTTGTCTTCAAAAGTAAATGGTAGTGTTGCAGTGTTGAAGCTTAAGTTCAGGCAGAGATTCAAACTTCAAAAACCCA